TAATCTACTGTTATTTTTTTAATTTATCCTCTGGAATCAAATTACAGATAGTCCAGTGCCTGATTTTCATGTTTTGAATTTCTTTTCTGATATATAGAACCAAGAAGGCTGGTATTGTCGGGAAATATGGTATGTTTTTCTTAACATAGTTTTGTCTTGTGTGTTTTTATTATGTGCTAAGGGTAAAATGAATTGGAAAAGAAGACATGAAAACACAAATAATTGCTTCCATGATTATATTAGCTTACCGTGCATACAAGTGCATTTAGAAAAAGAAGTTGAATAGATAAGATATGTTCTTTCCTTTCACTTTGATTGTTTACAAATCGTTTGTTTATTTGGTCTCTGTATGGTGGATTAGTTTTTCTCAATCTCCCTTTAATCTGAATATAGCTTATTTGTTTTTGTGAGCATAAACTATGTGTGCTCATATTTGTAAATATAGTTATCGATATAAAACCAGTTAATCAATAGGTAGAAAGACCAAAATGTAGAATTCAGAAAATTAAACATTTCAAAACAATGGAAAAGAAAAGTAGTATAAACAACTCTCAACTTACAAAAGATCTCTATAATAAAAGTAAAAGAATGCAAAACACTCTTAAGAAATACAAGCCAGTGTAAGAATATTATAAAGCATAAGTGAATGAGAGTAACTAGGCACACAAGGAAACTTCAACTGTCAATTTACTTTGCCATGCTAAAGATTCAATTACATGAACCATAGATACAAGCATTGATATCATTGCAACAAATCTAAATAAAAGCAAATTAATTGTACAGTTAATTTCATATACCCCTGATTAGAAGTAATACAAAAGCACAATCCCCCCACATGAACCACAACATTAAAATCTAACCAACTAGAATAAAGAAGAATGATATCAATGCTTAAAACGAAAACATTATAAATTATTATAATGAAATTAAAAACAAAAATGCTTAAAAAAAACATAGATTGATTTGTGTTTTCTCTATTGCTACATGCTAAAAGTCTTAGCATATTTATTTATTTATTTTTATTTTTATTTTAATAATATTACTGTTCTATCTGTCGCCTAGAAATCAAGAACGCTAGTTTCATTTAAATGATTTTAAAGTTTATAATTACATAAATTAGCATAAAGGACGAAAACACAACAAATCATACCCAGAGAAGCAAAAGCCAGAAACAAGCTACCTCAATTCTTGCTCCACCTGGCTAAGAAATGCAGTGTGCCCACTTGGAATTACACATCATCCAAATTCCATGGCAAATAATTGGTTGGAATTGTTTCCTGCGGAGTCATTTAAAAAATTGAAAATAAAAACAGAAAATAGATCTAGCAAATGATTTCAAGTATATTCTAGAAAGAACAATGAAATATGTTTTTTTATTTATGGTAAGGAAAGATATTAATGGAAAAAATAAAAAAATAAATTTAAAAAATATATAATAAGTCAAAATCTAGACTTAAAATCTAACTCGTATCATGTTCCTAGTTGAATTGAATAATTGAATAAGAAGTTTGAACAATGTGTATGATTATTTTATAAAAAAGGTGTTGAAAGACTTTCTAAAATAGAAGAAGGATGTTGTGGTTTATGCTTTCTTTTGGTTTTGGGAACTTTATAATATGCCAATGTCCAATCTTGATTGATCCATTTTGACTGCTCTGTGAAAATTCCAGATCCTTGATTATTCAGTTTTGATGCACAATTATGTTAGTAGTTCAATAGAGAGGAATTCATTAATTCTTTCAGCCACTTGACTGCAAGCACCTTTAGAGGAGGTTCCTAAAACCTATGAAGATATTCAATGGTATTAGAATACGTTATTCTCCTAGTTGTCATTTTCTTTTCAGTAGGTTGTCTTCTCCTCTTTGTGCTGCATAGTCTTTCTAATAGAATTTCTTTCTTTACATGAAAAGAATTATTACCCTTATTTGCATAGTGAATGTTGAGTGTCTGGAAAGAAGTATTTCAATCAGGTTCCTAGTTAAAAGTATAATCCATATTATTAAAAAAAAAACTCTATTTTCCATGTATAATTGGCTTAGCAAAATCCGAAAAAGAGAGAGAGAGAGAGAGAGAGAGAGAGATAAAAAGAAAGATCAATAAAAAACCAAAAAAAAATGAAAGAAAGAAAAAATAAAAGGAAAAAAAATTATAATATATTTGATAAGAAATAAAGATATCTCGATGAAAATTTATGCTAAGCATACAAAAATATAGTATTGCCAAGGGTTTATCGAATAAAAGAAGGAAACATAAGAAAAGAAATAAAGTTTGTGTTAATATGATTATTTTTAGTATATTATTTTTAATATTAATTTCAAGATAGATTATTATGGTAAATCAAAGTTAAATATTAAAGTTTGTTTATGTGATACATATTTTATTTTAAATGATTGTTTAAGTATTGGTTGTTAAGGAAGTATGCTTATTTCTAAAATGCTTATTGGTGTTATCATGTTAATTAGATAAATATGGATGATCGATCGTGGATGTATCGTAGTCTTATGGATGGTTGTCTTCGTCTTGAATACATTACGGGTGTTAGAAGATTTATTAATTTTGCATTTTCAATCGATAAAAATATATCTGGGGAAAAAATTAGATGTCCTTGGGTGAGATGCAAAAATCAAAAGTTTTTAAAGGAAGATGATGTTTGTAAGCACCTATTGACAAAAGGTTTTTTACCTTGTTATAAAAATTGAACTATACATGGAAAGCCTTATGTCACAGAACCAATATTGGCCGGACCTTCATCGGTTGGAATTAGTTATGTTGTGAATGATGTTTGTCTATAAAATCCATATAGAAATCTGGTTATGGATGCAATGGGGGTTGGTGATGCATATGTGTCTAGTCTTGTGGTAGAAGAGGAACTTCCAAATCCAAAGGCAACTAAGTTTTATAAACTTTTGAAAGCTGCAAAGGAGCCTTTGTGGGATGGGTGTACCGAGCAATCCAAATTGTCATTGCTGGTTGTTAGCATCGGATTATCCGTTGCTAATTGTAAGCAATGGAATTTTGGTTGCTGTGAAATCAACAACAGATAAATTCGTTGCTAAAAAATCAGCAATGACAAATCTGCATCTGATATTTGTTGTTGCTAATTCCGTTGCTAAATTATTTTAGCAACGGATTTTAGTATTATTTGCAATGGTGTTGTCCGTTGCTAATTATTACATTTTTTTTAATAGTGATATATCAGATCTCCCATTGATAACTCCTTTTCTGATATGTTCTTGTCAGCTATATATCTGTTCCATCCCATTTCCTGCCCTTTTCCAATCATGATTGTAACAATTGATCCAAGCTTGTTATTTATTGACTACTTCTTCACTGTTTCTTTTGATGTAGTTTTCATTTTCATTGCTGAAGGAGGATAACCATATAATGCATGAAATGCTGCCATTTTAATGGCTAAATGGTATCTCGAGTTGTACCATTACTGAGCCTGAGATAACGAATCATAATTTTGTTCTTATGTCTTGAAATTCCTTGTGTAAATGAATATTTAGTCCAATTTTCCTTATTAATCATCTTTTCAACAACAATATTCTTAAATTGGCTATCCCCTTCATAGATCTTACTGATTTTGATCAAATCATACTGGACTGACTGTAGAAATAGTTGTCAAACAACCATCCATAACTTCTCCACTATCATTACTAGCTTCATCTTCGACTCTCCTGGATAAGGCATCTGCCATTGCCATTGTCTTCTCCTTTCTCTTTTTGTACTGGATTGTATACTTTAATCCCAATAGCGTGGTTAAACCTTTCCTATGAATTAGAGTGTGTGTCCTCTGCTCCAATAAGAATTTCAAGCTCTTATGACCGGTTTTAATAAGAATTTCAAGTTCATAGTAGTGCCTCCATCTTTCTACTGCCATTAGGATTGCCATACACTTTGCTGTCATATTCTTCACGTGTTAATTCTTATCAGCTGCCGCTTCTCATGCTTGATTCTCTCATGTTACGCAACACAGTAGCTCCACCTTCTGCCTGCAAACTCTCGAATCTGATCCTCAAACAGCAGCCGCATCTAATTAATGTCCTGACAATCGCTAAAATTGCCTGCAGTTAGCAATTAAAGACTCGACGTACATGCACGCCTGCTTTGATAATGTGTTCAAGAGCAAAACTACCAACCCAGCAATTCAGCCTGCGAAGCCATAGCGGTAAGTTTCAGAAGTGCTTACGGTGAGCTTGAAGATGATCCCGTGACGGCCGATTTATGATTCCTCCATAGCCGGTGATTACATTGTCAACTGGAAAAAGCCTTGTCTGATGATACCAGTGTTCAAATCGAATCCGTTCCTAATAGAATTCAAGTTACAAGGGAACTACAACCCATTGGAACAGTTGTTGCAGGCATTCTTTGTTGGGCTTCTCGATCTAATTACTAATGTTGCTTTCCATATATTTGCCTATAGCATGCACGTAATTTCCTCGTATGAAGTATTTTTTGAAGAACAAATATATGTATTGATTAATTTTTAAGCACTGGATATAATTAATCTATTTTGTGAACGGTAATTAACGATGTTACGTAGAAGCAGTACGTCCTGAATGGTAACCAAGGTTTTCATTGAACTAATTGATAGTCTTCCACTACCAGATAGAAAATTGACAAATACAAAAGAAACTGACAATGAACCAGCATTCCAACTGATTCATTCTGCCTTCTGTTTGTTTCCTGCGGAGGTATTAATTGCCATATGATCTACTGAAAGCAAACTGACAGCACGCAATCTCCATCAATTCTAACTTCTCCAGCGCAACGTAACCTATCAGATCATGATGACAGGGGTGTAACAAACATAACAGAACATGAGAGGATCCCAGTCCCCATGTTTGGCATGCCAGAGGTGTATTTCAATGAAAATTACACAGATAGCATCTTTGTCTTGGTATGAATTGTTTGACAGCTCGAGCTGTCATGTATCCCGTTGCACCAGCAACTCTAAAATTAGACTTTGTTTTGTTCTATAAAGTAGACTGCAATCGCACACCTTCTTGTTTCTGTAACAATGGGTTCTAGCAATCGCACTTTGATTTTCGCTACCATTTTCTTGTACCTGCTCCTGCATTTCCCTTCTCAAACCGAGGCCAGAGGTCTCAAGTCTCCAGCCAAATGTCCGAAATTACTGAGTCAGGTTTGCAAGACAAGCCAGAACTATGCGTTCTGCGTGAGAGTTCTCATGTCCAATCCTCTGACATTGTTGGCTCCTAATACAAAGGGCATAGTTGTGAATGCCCTGGACATAGTAAGAAAAGAATCCATGAAGACAAGCAAGTTCTTTGATGGATTGGCCAATGGCAAAGGCACGGTGCCTGCTTTTAAGCCAGCCCTCAAGGAATGTGCGTCTGATTTTAAGAAGGCTTCAGGACTTATGAACCTCAAGGTGCTAGAAGGTGATTTTGCAACCATGGATGTGAATTATGCTCTTGATGATGCTCGAAGCTGTGAGACTAAATTGTCGATGGATGAGGTTAACATTAAATCAATTCCT